CAGGCCAAGACTTGAAAAAAAATCAAAACCTTACAAAAATCTGTTAATACTAGAAAGGGGCTTTTTACACAAAGGGATGTAGGGGTGTGGAACAAGCTGCTCAGCCATATTGTTAAAGCCAATTCCCTCCCTGGGTTCTTTCAAGAAACGCAATGGATTTCTGGGATCCAAAAGCTCCAACCACCATACAGGCTAGATGGGCTGAAAGACCCCGTCTTGTTTGTAACCATTCTCATATTTTGTCCTCTCTCATCCCTTAAACTCTATTGTTTCCTCACAGATTAAAGAAAGGAATTTTGATATTTTATGGGAAGCTGTACATCCTTTAAAGTTCCTTGTTTTTTTTAGAGAACTCAAGAAGCTAGATCTCCTATGTGATAAAAACATTGGGGAAAAACACCTGTTTGCCCCCTGATGGTTTACTGCACAGCCTCCTAGACCCATGTGAGTCATATCATGTATTTATTGTGCTGACATTTTTGTCCAAAACTTTTTGTACCTGAATGCAGCACCAGACTCAGGGGTACAGCAACAGCACCTCACCTGGGAAGTGAACCCACAACTTTCCAGTACCCTGTCTGGGCCCTGCCCCCTGTTCTGTACTGCAGCCCATACACTGCAGGTGAATCTTACCCAGGGGCTGGTTGGGGGGGCTCATGGTGGAAAAGATTGTTTTTTTCTGCCAAAGAAACCTCTTGGGCAAAGCAGGCCTGCAGGACCACGTGGAACAGCTCCTCTGCCCACTGACACAGTTCACAGAGAGAGCAGCCAGCTTGTAAGGAACCAGGGAGAGCTGGGGAGAGTTAGAGAAGACTACATTATAGAACAAGGTGTTCCACACAGCACTCCCTACCTGACAAAGGCCATCATTCTCATGTAGCCAGGCTTGCATTCAATTAAAACTTCAGCCTCTTCTACCACTTAGAAATTGCAGTCTCAGAACCCGATGCCAACAGTAGCTTTTTATTTAGCTTCAGCTAAGTGAAAATCCTTCTTTGCCTAATGGCTAATGGTATTTGGAGAACTGAAATACATTTAGAGCTAACCTGTGTCTTAAATATGACACATGAAGTAATCTGCGAGCATGTACAAAGAACACAGAAACTTCATTTATGATGTTGCAATATTTCAGCAGCAGTAGGTGATTATTTCGCCAGACTAAAAAATGCACCTGTAACCACTGAGATGTCCTCTGCATGAGGCAGTGCTGTACACAGATGCCACTCGTGTGCAAGATCTTGTGCTTAGCTTGTCTGGTGTCTTTTTTATCCTTTACCTTCAGTCAGATCCCTGGAGAAAAAAATGAGTTTCAGGGAAGAGGATATGAAGATTAAAAAATAACACCTGCGCTGCAATCTTTGTCATCAATGCCAGTATATAAGAGTGAATGTGTGTTAGCATATGTGCTTGAGTGAGCATGTGGGTGGATGTCAGTAGCCGTGTGTGTGCATGTGCGAGAGTGTAAACGTGTACGAGTGTTAGTGCACATGCATGTGTGTTAGTGTAAATGTGTACGAGTGTTAGTGCACATGCATGTGTGTTAGTGTAAATGTGTACGAGTGTTAGTGCACATGCATGTGTGTTAGTGTGTACATGCTAGAATGAGTTTTAGTGTGCATGCATGTGTGTGTGTTAGTGTGTACATGCTAGTATAAGTGGGTGAATGAGTGTTAGCATGCGTGTGTGTGTCTATGTTAGTGTGTGTAAACAAGTGCTAGTGTGTATGTGTGTTAGTGCATGTATGTTTTAGTATGTGTAAGACTGTGAATGAGAGTGTGTGTGGGTGAATGAGGGTTAGTGTGCGCGTGTGTGTCAGGATGAGGTGTTTGAATCATGACAGAAATAGCAGATTCCACACTATGCAGCTGCACCAATCCAGGACGCTTCAAAAACAATTGTTTCCATGACAACTGATAAAATAGTCTCTTCCCACTCAGAAATAGCACAGCGCAAACCCTCACTCGTCAGAACCCAATAATAACCTGATATAAATAAAAAGAATCTCAGAAAACAGTCACCCCCCCCAACACTAACTCTACCCCACCATCCAGCCTGCGTTTATCAGCAATGAAAGCAAGACAAAACTGAGCAGATTTTTTTGCCAAGCACAATGAATTGCCCTCTGTGCTGCTTTCCAAACCAATTTCCACAAAAGCCTAAGAGTTGCTTAATCCGTTATTGAGTATTACCTGAATTCTGCCCCCGTCTCAGCCACAGAATCACAGGGGCAACAGGGATAAACACAACATTTATTCAAGGTTTTTCAAAAGCAGTGCCACAACACAAATTTCTATCTTTGGTTAAATCAAAAGCAAATAAAATGTATTTATGCACTGCCAGTCATAAATTTCATGATGAAGTGAAAAAGATATCTAAAAGATGATATCCTTGTTTGCTTTAAAAAATGTGAACATAAAGGAACATCAGATGAAACTGCTGTCATTTTTTGCCCAGTGTCTCCACAGATTTCACTGTTCCTGGACCTGTAACTGCAGACCCGAAATAGCCATTCACCCACACCCACCTTCACCCACACTCA